AATCTAAATAATTTGATTACAGACCAGGGGGCAGTGGAGGGGGAAGTAACAGCCCTGTAACACAGCAGGTGTAAACAGAATAAAGGGGAGAAGAAGATTTTTGAACATTCTTCTGCCTTTCTTTCATGTATGATTTATAATATGTACTTTTGCTACACGAAACCCTTGAAAAACAATTATGTTTATTATTTACATGGTCTGAATGATACTGAATATACATACTACTTTCTTATCTGTTTGACTTATGACTTATTAATTGTACATTTTCTCCAAACCTTTCCTAAGCACTTTAAGAACCAACTATATTTTACTGGAAGCTGCTTTGTTTCCTACAAAAGAGGACTGAAACAAAAGCTGTTGCCTCCAGACTGTGCCACTGCTGAGCAGTGTAAGGTGAGCACATGCAGTACAGCCAGAGGTATGGTGGAAAGCATACTTTACCTCCATGCCTCGCTAAATAATACATTGACAAGGCAAGCACGTAAGAGATTTGGTGTCTTGTAACTACTATCAGATGTGTGTCTATCAAGCTTCATGTTTGTTAGTCAAATGAGACCAATGAATTAGAGAACGTTTACATTTGTCTTCCTTTAAACAGGCACACAATGACTGCAGCAGAGCCACAACCAGAAAACTTGACTGAGAAGGACACAGGGGTAAGATAAGCTCAGTACAAATACACAACTTATTGTTGGTTTTTTTAATAGGCTGTCTAGTGTGTGGCCTGATACTGCTTGTGTAATAAATGAGAATGAGGGGATAAAAGGGAAAAAAAAGAAGCATGTCTTTACTCGAGTTCCATGAATATGAATAATGCACTTTCTAATCCTCTCATATTAGATGAGAAAACATGTTGATTTTGCTGGAATTAGTATTCCTGTGTTATTTACATCCAAATACTGGAAACTTGTTATATTTGCTAGAATAGGTGTCTGCCATAATTAAGATTTGAAATAACATTTCTTAAAGTTTTATTATTTAGCAATTCATATTTAAAGATAAAGGTTGGCATGTTAAATGACAGCCCAAATTAATCTATTTTCTCAAAATATGACTAGGAATTTGGAAATGCTTTACATTTTGTAGTAATCAAGAACTCTTTTAGCTCTTCTCATAAACTTATCTGAGCTGCTTTTGTTAAGAAGTATCTGAAATGTAAATGAAGAAATGTTAAAGATACTTAAGGCTCTGTTTACCTGCAGAAGAAACCGCAAACTTTTCAAGAAATGGTGTCAGAAGTGTGTGCCTAGCTATCTTGTGTACACTTAAGGAGTCCTTAGGGAGGAAGAAATTATTCAGTGAAGTGGCCAGTGAATGTTGCAGTTGGACTAGATGATTGTTGTAGATCCAACTGTTTTTATTGTTTTATTCAACTATTTTATTCTATTTATTCTATTTCAACTATTTTATTCTATTTTATCCAAATATTTTATTCTATTATTGATCAGTAGCTGCCTAAGTTCTCTTCTAAATCTAGTCCTCTATTTCATTCTTCTCCCTCCCTTCCCAGCATTGCCATAAACTAAGTGGTCAGCTGCTTTTGTTCTGTAGCCTCCTCTGGATCCTGGGGCTTGTTCTTCAGTGGTTTGGAAAACACGTTGGGTTGAATGAGGTACTGTCTTAATTTGCAACCTGTTGGTACTCCTCTCATAATTTATCTCAAGATGGCCTATGGATCCTCATGCCAGGGGATTCCTGACAGTGCAGATTAACTGGAACAGGACATGTAAGGTGGGATAGAAGGGGACCTGTTGGAGGCAGAAGTTGGATGAATTAGTATGGAAGATCATGGAAAGGACTTCTCAAGCCCTTCCCTCAGAAGATTTTTTGTTTAGGTTTTGTGTGTTTCTTTTGGTTGTTGTTTTGGTTTTGTTATTTAATTGAGAAGGAAAACCAGCTCAATATGCAAAGGCAAATGGCAACTGTTTGACAACAGACTGTTTTCTACTGTCAGGAGAGAACTCACCAGTACAATATGCATGATTAAATAATCTCATGGGGACACAGCTAAATAAACATATCAACACTATTCACAAATAGTTCTACAAATAAACTGTTCCAGTTTACTGTTTTTACAATTTCTATTTACTTGTTTGCTAGTGAACAAATAAAAGACTTCACATGTAAGAAACATTCAAGATAGCAAGAATATGATGAAAGTATAGGTAGCCATTTCCAGCACAGCAGAACTGATATAGTTTTTCCTCAACAGCTCTTTTAATTACTTTCATTAATATATTCGCCTATCGATTGACTAAATAGCCTGCAAAAAGCAGAAGAGGCCTTATCTCATTTAGAGTACAAGAAGAAAAATACCATTTCAATGATCCTACTGTGAAGGCAGATTTATCAGGAACTTCAGGTTTAAGAAAAACCCTGAAATTTACTGGATATCTGCAATTCATGAGTCTACAAAATCTACAGGCCTTGCTATAGCTTTTTGCACAGGAAAAGTATGCCTTTATCAGATTTATTACATGCAATGAAGAATTACCACAGACCTCTTACAAACTCAGTGGGGGAGAGATCCAAAAGATTCCAGAGAAAAACACAAAAAAGGTAAAACCTACAGTTTGATTGCAGTGTTTGAATGCTGTACTATCACCAGCCTCATAAAACAAACACATTCATGCAAAAGGTTATAGGTAGCATTCACAAAAAACCTACTTTTGAAGGATATACAGCATTTTAGATAGTCGCTTCACAAAAATTCCACCATCAATTTCTACAGAATGACTGCTCACTAGCTATCTTAATTTGTTTAGTACTGCAAGATTCCTCTCTCCAACACGTCTCTTTTGGCCATAGAAGCACACTCGAGTCTCCCAAACCAAGGAAAATGAGAGGTCAATGCTCCCTGCAGAGTTTTAACCTGGGCTGATACCTTTATCCTATCACATTGATAATTTTTTAAAAATACCTTGCTCATCTTTATGGGCTATTATTTGACTGTTATGAGCTGGGGTTTGGTGCAATGGGACTGAAAACAGGAGTGTAACAGACTAAGTTCTGCCTTGCCACAAGTCCCATACATGAGTGGGCTCCTAAAATGCAACTCTTGGGAAGAGGATAGTCACAGATCCAGAGATGTGAATTTGCCTGGAATTTCAGCAAATTGGATAGTGTAATAAGTTTAATGTTGCTATGAGAGAATTAACCAAGATAAGTCTGGGGGAGAAGTGAATAGGCCAGAGGACACATACAGCCAAGACAGATAAGAGCTAAAAATAGTGGACACAAAAGAAAAAAAAAGATACTTGATAAAAGCAACAGTATCTGTTCTCATCTTCACTCAAATAAGATAATTTTGCAAGTGGCCAGTAAAAGTTAAAAACTACAGTCAGCAGAGCCAATATGAAATTTTAATAGTGATTTAGGTCAAAGTCCAATTCTGCACTTTTCTTATTTCCTTTATTTTCTTCCTACATTTTCATAAAGGTTCTACAATGCTCAGGAAACAATTAAAATAAAGGACAATTTTAGATATGCAATATACATCAAATATTTTACTTGAAATAAGTTCCCACTAGTATTCTACAGTGATTTAAACTACCATGAGCAGATAGGGAAGGAAACTGGAAAAACAGAGACCCATTTTGGAGTTAGCAATAATAAAATGTGAAAAACTCAAACGACCGCTAGGATTCTGGTTTGAGATTTTTTTGGGGGTATTTCCCTTTCACCCCCAAGTTTCAGAGAGGAACTTTCATCAAAATATACCTTTAGGAAGTGGCTTAAATTCAGGTTTAACCCTACATTCAAATTTGGCACAAATGCAGATGTTAGAATTAAATCTCTCTTTTTAAGAAGGGCAAGTGCAGCAAATCACCAAGTTTATAAAGAGTTGAATCTCCACACAATCCCACCTCATAGAAGCCAAGTCATGCATATGAACAAAGCAAATGTGTTTGTTTTATTTGTTGTCTAGCAGCCATAGGTCCCACACCAGAGGAGGGTAAAAGAAGCTACCACTCTTGTTAAATCTACTTTGAGAGCTGCAAGGCAGAAGGAGGTGAAGTCCAGACTATGTTTTTAATTACAGCATACCACCTACCCTGAAAAGCCAACAAAATGACCCACTAACAATGAAGTGAAATACAGGGCAACGAGGATATTGCATAAGCACACTCACCTGATTTAGGAACAGTCTTCTTCACCCTTATCCTTATTCTTCAATCCTTATATGCAGTGTAAATCAGGAATATTTCTAACACACAGCTACAAGTTAGGTTGAACATTCTTGCAACTGGTGAATATAATAGCTGTTCTTCATTTTGGGTTAAACATCAGACCAATTTAGGATCTTTGATGGAACCAAAGAGCTTAGAACAACAGGCACGTGTAGTAGCAGAAGGAAGGGTGTTACTTTTGCTTGCAGGAAGGGGAGAGAATGGAATAAGCCTTTGTGAGAACACAGTCAACCAATCAGAAAGGTTTGATATCAGCACTTAGTAATTTACCTGCCAGAAGAGTTACAATGCAATTAGGAGCACTGTACTGGGATATGTTTCCAGACTATCCAAGTACTCTCACAGCTAACGCAAGTAGCCCTTCTGTCTCCTGGCTGCATTAAAATGCTATGTCGTGCTCTGCAATACTGACAGCTGTATCAAATCTAAGAGAAACTAGTAGTCACCTGTCACAACACCTTTCAGTGCAGCACACGTTGATTACCAGGCACTCATTCATTAGCCCCACTGTGTTTGAAATTCTCCTTAATTGTGTGTTTGCTGCTTTTCCATTCATGATAAACAGCAATTCTGCTGGCAAGCCTAAGAATAAAGTATCTGAACACCATCCTTAATTCACTCTTTAA